CAAGCAAAGTAGCTTATGAAAGGCAGTGAAGGGAATTAATTATATTCAGAAAAATATATTGGAATTATACAATATTTGTCCATAGAAAGTCAAATTGAGACAATAGCTAAGAATACATTTATATCAATCAAGGCTAATACTTTAAAGACAATGTTAGGTACATAATAATCTATGTAGTTCTGCTCCATTTTGGCACTAACCTGTTGATTCCAGTGTTGTCAAATATTGGAGCTATGAGGCAAGTTTCCTAAATTTTAGGAAGATTATAACTTTACTTTGTCCCACCCCCAACTCCCTGTCCATTAGAGTAGGAAAGGACTTTCAATGCATACATCATTTTAGCTTCCCTTTTTTTGTAATTTTTCTCAGCAGAGTAACCAACACTCAGTATTTCAAATGTTGAAACATATGGAAAGGGAACACAATACTTTTCTTTTAGGGTAATAAAAACAAAACAATATGGCATTGAATTTTAACTATTTGAATCTGAAAATAGCAGATATTTAGGATTTCAAGCTAGTTCTTCAGATATTGTTTTTATAAAAAAAACTTTGGGGGGGGGGAATGCAATGGTAATATTGCTGTCTGAGGCTTACAATTCATATAATCATGATTGCAGAATTGTAATGCTGAATTGTGCAGCCTTTCTTTTCCACATTATTGAACTTGATTTCCCAGAATTTCTGGGAGTATTTAAAAAATACATTTTAGGACAATAGGAAACAACTAATCTTACCAATCTACCTTTTCAACACTTTGCTATTTCAGTTGTCTTACCCTTAGAAGATGTCATAAAGAACTCAAAAAATATCAAGCACTTCCACAAGTTAGTATTACATGGATCTCAAACAGTATCATGATTCTGACATACGAATCAATAACAAGTGATTTTATGATTCACAACTGGGAAAAAATGAAACAGGGCTGCCATCTTCAGAAACTTTACCATACAAAATATACCTAATTAAATGGAATTAAGGGAAATTCACACAATTTCTGCTTCAGAATCTATTTTCAAAGAAAATATAAAGAGCAGCCATTTCAACAAACATTCAAGTATCACAATGTTTATTGATAGATACAAGTATATAAAATCAGGGCATGAACATGTCTTGATAAATTAAGTAGACTTAATTCCAATACTACTAGGGATCAATTCAGTTTCTCACCATTTTATTTCATACCCACAAAGACCACTTCCAAGGGCACTATCCACCTCTTCAAACTGATCATTTTTGTGCAAGTAAACCATGTTTCTTTTTAAAAGACTTGTGCACTTGCCCAGGCTCAAGGATATTAAAATCTAGCACATAAAGCCCATTACTAGAGGTAGAAATACAGGCAATATACTATTACGGCAACCACCATCAATTACAGTTAAGGATTCTCTGTAACAACCAAATGGATAATCAAATATTGCAACAACTCAAGTATTACACTGAGCAAAGTGCATTTCTACAGTATTCAGTGTTGCTATTCAGATTTCTAACGAACAGCCTATGGTAACTGGCATCAAAGAAGATCCTTACACAGACTGCTTCTGAACTTATGATGTAATTATTGCATGCTGCTAATACACTGTTATCTAAACATTAAAGATATTCTAAAATATTTTTATGGTAGACTATGATTAAGACATACTACAAAAACCCTTATGCAGAAACAAGTCCTACTGACCCACTACTGCTTTAAGTATTGTGAAAACATTACAGCGGAATGAGTTTTCGCAGTGGTTAGGTCAAATGCAGTTACATCATAGCAACAGTATGTTTGCACAATTTAAGGCTTTGGCTGGTTTAATCAGCATCTTCTTCAGATTCTTCTTCCTCTGCTGTTTCCAGCCAGGTCAACCACTGGTTTACCTGCAAATAAACCCAAATACTATTATTAGAATGAGAAAAATAAATGAAATGAAATTCAAGTATATCTGGGGATTAACTACATATGAAACCCCTACACAATTTATTAAGAGTATAAAAATTATTGAAAACACGAGGCATATTCTCATGGCTCTAATTTTAAACCTTATAGAAATCTGATTTTTTTTACAGTATATTCTACGTTTTCCTTAATGAATCTGCAAGTACAATGAGGTAACTGTTTTGCTTAAACCTACGGTTAAACATATAGTAAGATAATTCACCTGGAACAAAGCTTTGCCTTTCCCTGGAAACTCTTGAGTAATATCTTCTTTCCATGCCAGAAAAGCTTCTTCTTCAATGATTTCCATATCATAGAAATGCACAAAGAAGCGCAGCAACATGCCTGTAAGAAATATTTTGCTTTTTTACTCAGATCTTTTAAATGGCTATTTTAGATAGCCATTTCTTTAGCATCAGTGGCACTAAAATTTACTGTTCAGCCATTTCGCTTAGTTTCATAGAAAGTGGTAAGCAAACCTGATACCAACTTATACAAGCACTTCTCTAGCTGTATGACTATAGGAGCATTTGTCTAGAATTCCCCCTCATCCTGATGTCATATCAAATGCACATGAAAGAGGGAGAGGCAAACAAATTTATTATTACCTTTTGGAAAATTGTTGTTGTAGCAGTGCACTTGGAGTGCGTACAGGGCACTCACTTGTAGATCAACATGGTCGTGAAGGAATTTCTGCATAACTGGCTTAAAGGAAAGAAGCAGCTGTTTTTCTTGCTCCAACTGTTCTTTAGAAGGAGCAGATGAAGAATCTGGTTCATCATTAGGTGGATTTACTTCACTAGAAATATACTGCAAGAAACTAGAAGAATTGGAAGGAAATGGTGTAAATTGTTTAACAAACTCATCCATGTAAAGCAAAGAAAAAGCAAAGATTTTTTTTCTTTGCTCAGCATATAGATAATAGAATAATGAAATAACCCCACCATTGCTATAATCAGCTTATATTATAGTATCTTTAACTCATGCGTGACATGCAACAAACTGGTTTCAGTTGCATTTCTCACCTGGTCATCAAAATATTAACAAATCCCTTATCTACATGTAGTTTTGGTGAAATGTTGTCTTTAATCCATTTATAGATTGCTTGAGGGGATGGGTCCAACTTAATTTGCTTCAATAGCTCCTTTTCCAGTTTCAGAAGTGGAAACAAGAAGCTAAGTCCTTTCCCTTCCAATATCTCCAGCATACGATCCTTATTCTGGTCAATCTCTGTAACATATAGAGATACAAAGATACAAAACTGTCCAAAATATTCTTTGAGCATGTCAACTTAATATACTATATATTCAATCTTTAGCTCATATTTTAAAAACACCATAATATTTAACCATATTTTCTAACTAGACATTTATTATAGTTACCCATCTACCTCCCAGTGTACTCATTCCTTACCTGGCAGCATCTTTTGCATGTTCACTTTGCTCTGTTGGAAAAGGTCGGTTAGCCATTCTCGATCCTGCAGCTTGGCTAACTGCTGAAGGCAAAGTAGGAAGAGGGGAAAATGGGTGCCACTTTCCAATGGCTGTGCTAGTTCAGAGATGCTCACGAGTTCTGAAATTATGGCACGAGCTGCAAACTGTGCTAGATAGGATTTTACCAGAGGAATGTCCACCTCTAGTTTAGGGCACTGGTCCAATACATTTAGGAATGCCTGAAAAAAAGTTTACTAGCATTAATTATATTCTCCCATGTCTGGTTCTGACAACAATACAAAGACATCAAAGTATATTTATGAATATATGCATTACCTGCATGAAGTTGTCACTAGTAGCTATCCCTTCCTGTTTAAGTAAATTGATTAATGCGCTTGCTTTTTCTTTATCTTCATCTGATCGATCTAGTGACTGAAGTACTATTTTGCTCAGCATGTCAGAAATAAAATGTTTTGGTGCCCTCATTTCTCTCACACTGCTGACAGCATCATTGGCATTTCCATTGTTCAAATATTCAGTCACAACGGTTTCCTAAAAAAGGAGGAAAAGAGTTTTTCTCTCTGTCTCTTAATTCTTTAGAGTTATCACATACTGTAGTTTGAGAGCAGACTAAAAGAACTTACTGTTAACTTGAGCAGCTCTTCCTTAGAAGGTGGTGGCTTTTTACTAGTCTTTGCAGGCTTCTCCTGAATAAGTGGTGGATTTGTTTTGAGACCAAGTTGAGGTGGCTTAAAAAATAAAACATTAGAAGTTTAGAGGTGTATTTATTAACAGTAATGCATCAATCTTAAAACATTTGCTAGTTTCAAACTGCAACTTTAAGCATTCTTTTAACCAAGCCTGAATTAGTAGAGCTCCACAGCACTGGCAAATTGACAAAAATTGTATCCTGGAATAGCCTAGTAAAGGCTTTCACTTTCATAATCACCATTAAGCATATATATTCTGAAAAGATGCTATTACTTAGTTGTCTCAATCAAATCTCACTGTTTACCTGGATTTACTCCCAAACAAGCAAATATTGTGGAATTCCAGGATCTTGCTAAGCATTTGTTCTTCTGAACTCTTAAATAGAAGAAAATGACTTACTGGAGACATGTGCTGCAATGCTCCGAAGTGCCTCTATAGGACATAATATTCTCAGATATGCCATCACCACAATAGAAATTAGGCTATAGTCTTCACTGTTCCCTCCCCACTATTTTAATACCTTAAAAGTGCCTATGTTTTCTAGAATGCACCTTTATAATGAATATAATCAATAAATCTTTGATTAAAACATTAGAGAAACATTTACCTGTCCCAGAGGTGGTGTCTGGGTACGTTGTGGCTGTGCACTGGGAGGAATCATAGTTATCTGGGGCTGAAGCTTTGGCACTTGGTTTTTGTTTACTACAAAACACTGAGCAGGTCTCAGACTTATCTGCGAAAAGAAGCTGGATATTAGAAAGCTGGAGTATGGTTCTATTATGGTAGTAGTGAAAACTACCCATAGCAGAGTTGCATGTTATTTACAAGCACTGCTAAGTTATAGCAACAATATTTTTGAGAAAACAATCTGTAAAGTTTATAATGGCTTTTTATATTTCCATCCAGCAACTGAAATTACTTCAACAGCTCTTGTTTATGCCCTCATATCTCATAATCTTGCTCATAGGACACTGGAAACTCCCAAGAAGGAGGAAGGAGTGAAACTCCAAGAAAAGGGGGGGGTGGGGTGGAGAGAGAAGCAAGAGGAATAAAGGTAAAGATTGGGGGGAGGGAACAGCAGGAAGGTAGAAGGGGAGCTCCAGTGTTGATCCTCGTAATAACGCGTCTTGTTATAATCACTGGGCATCTTTTAAAAATTGTGCCTATTCTTTTTCAAGGGCATACCTCATCTGCATTAAGCTGTCCCTTCTTAGAAAACCGTGGAGGCATATCCTTAGACTGTCCTTGTTGAGACAGAAGTCCCTGATTTTGATTATGGTATAGTTGGCTTTGCCCCTGTTTTCAAGACAATGAAAAGAAAAATAAAAACTATAACAGTAAACTTTTCTTTATTATAAAAATATTTTTTCATATATTCTATGTGTACTGCATTTTACATCTTGTTAGAATTTGTTCTACCATGATGAAATTATTATTACTATCTTACCTTTCCATCAGTTCTAATTTCCATTTTTTCCTCACAACAATCCTGTGAGGTAGGTTGGATTTAAAAAAACTGCCCCCAAGTTGTTCCCTGATCTTCCTTGGCTAAGAGTGGATCGAGGTCTTGCTAATTGTAAGCTAGCATTTTAAACATCTCAACTGTTACAGGCGGGTTGTTTTATAAGGAAGCTGTTTCAAGCTGTTCTAATTAAAAGGCAAAGTATAAATTCTGAATTTATGACTCAATCCCAGCAATTACATCAATGCTTCCCAAACCTGAATCAATTACCCCAAATTGGGTAAACATGATTTTTTCTTTTCTCACGAACCATTATCCATCAGAACAGGGACATTTAAACTGACTTAAAGATGGCCACATGTACTAGAATATATTTGAATTTCTCCCAATTTCTCCTATTAAGACAAGAATTGATGAAATCACCAATATTTTCTTGAAATGACAAAGATAATATTGGTTTTGTAATATAGTCCTCCAGTTATGATGATTTTTCCAGTGACTGTTCAAAGCTATGACAGTACTGAAGGGACTTAGGAGTAGCCCTTTTAAGGCTACTTAAAAAAGCCCTTTTGATTAAGACTTTCTGATAAGCAATTTTTAGGTCACAAAGGAAAAAAGTTTGGGAACCACTGAATTCGATACAAATGTTCATAAAGAAGATGCATCAAGTATAATATTTGGGAGCTATTAATTATGCTTTGGATTTCACATAAATAATAGAAAAATATATTCTTTTTATTCTAAATTTTAGAAACTGGAGAAAATATTGTAAATGAAAGTGAAATTGCCCACGGAAAGAGGCAGAAAAAGACCTCAATCAATTCCACTCCCTTATTCCTGGGTGCTCCTGACGCTGACGGGACATTTCAAAAACGCACTAGAAGAATATGGAGACAAAGAGAAGGACTCTTGTTACTTACAAGGGGAGTTCCGTGTTTTTTTTTTAAACCTTCCAGAAGATGGCAAGTATTATATAAGTAGCAGGTGCAGACATAATGCCTTTTTGGAGAAGCAGCGAAGGGTATTAGAGACAAACTAGTTCATCCATCAGCTATTGTGAAAAATGTATTGGACAACAAAAAATGCTTGAGGAGGAACCACAGTGGCAATCCCCAAGGAGAAAAAAAAAGCAAGCCAGGCAGAGGAGATTGGAGAGATGACAGAACACAAAGAACCAAACTTGTAAAAATGAGCTTTGTTTCCTTGGAGCTTCGGAATAGATTCCAAATGATGTTGTTTCTGGACTTCTGGATGAACTTCAGCTGCCACAGGGGCCAAAGATGGCTACAGAAGTTTTGCAAAGAAGACAATTCCCGTCTCTGCCTTGGGGCAACAGCAAGAGATGTTTATTTGAGATTTCCTATTGAGGGACCAAAGCATCAATCGCAATGAGCTAGCAGTTTTATCAAGAGGACGGTGCTGCCTTTCACGGGCTCACATTTGGGATGTAACAGAAAACATATCAGGTCTCCTTAAGCTCACTGAAGAATAGTCCTTTTTTTTAGTGATTCTGGTGGGAATAAATGGCAGACAGTGTTGAAAACATTATAAGACTATAAAGCACAGGGCTATTAGGTAACGTTTGTTTTTTCAAAACAACCCTTTCCTGTTGAAGGCTGTGAACCCCGAAGCTCACAAGGGAAGCTAAAAGTAACATGAAAGTTCTTTTTTCCCAGTTTTGTCAAAGCAAGAAAGCCATAATGGACAACTAGTGTGTCCGTGAAGAGACTGATTATATCCAAGAGCCTTAAAAGAGCTTGGCTATCAAGAATGGTTGTAGTGCCAAAAGAGTAGGGCAAGCGTAGTAAGATGAAGAACGCAGCTGATTACAGACCTACAAGCTTGTTGCTGATATTGGACAAACTCCAGAACAGAAATATGACTGTTAAAACATTTAGAAAAGAATATTTTGCTTAGCAGGAATAGCATGTCTTTAGGAAATAATAAAGCATGGCAAAGCAATCAGAGTTCCTCTATTGTTTGCTTGACTACAGATATAGTAAACGTAATTCCAAACCATTTAATCAAGTTTCCTACAAGATCCTTGTAAAGATGATGACAAAATTTAAGCTGCCTGCATTACTGAGGATTATGAGGATATAGACTTAGCTGAACATACACAAGAACATACAGGCTCTGTGTCATTCAACAATGACTTATAAAATGGGTTAAAAATACCAAAAGATTATGAAGTTTTTGGCTAATAAACAAGACAAATACTTAAGAGGACAGTTTCAGGATTCAAGAGGACGTGACAAGCTAGAACAATGGACAGAAACTAACAAGATGAATTTTAAGAAGAATGAACCATGCCTCTACCATATATGTGAATTATCTCATAAATTGCAAGATAAGCTAATAGCATAATCCAGTTCCAAGAAAAACACAATTTTAATTTGCATTAATGATAGTACAGTTTAAAGATCAAGATAATTATTGCATTCTACTCTGTATTAATTAGATCACAACTAAACTCTAGTATCTTTTCTTGGCACTGTCAATATCCTTCCAAAAATACAAACTTGAATTAAAAAAAGGGGAATAACTGAGATGGTTAAGAGCTGGAAGAAAAGGCTTATTTGGAATAGCCGAGTGAGCTAATACATTTAACCTGGAAAAGACTATGAAGACATGTCTTCAGGTTTTTGAAAGCTGGTCTATGTGAATAGAATACAATAGACCTTCTTAGTTCTAAACACAGGACAAGGAACAGTGGTTTTAAATTATTCCTATTTATTGTTATTGGTGCAAGTCATTCATGATGGATGGCCTTGCACATTTCTTAGATATAAAAAACAGCATCTATCTTCTATCAAAGTCACTTACTGGATTTTTCAAGAAGGATTTGCCTAGCTCTCCAAAGTGGGATTGAACAGGAGCCATGAGGTGTCCCCCATGGCCATTGAAAAGTTGATTTGACCGGTGTCGCCCCATGGTAGGTGAAAATCTGTCTTGAATAACTCCCGGACCAGTACCAATTCCACTACCTGAATTCATAAGGCACACAAAAGACAAGAGGATTATAATTCAGGATATCTTTATCAAAGTAATTAAAGAAAGTAAAAAACACATGTGTCATTTCTTCACTAAAGTAATATAATTACCAGGCATTTGTCCAAACATATCAGCAAGCCCTCCAAGTGGATCCCTGTCAAGTTTCATCCTGGGTGGCATAAACGGTCCCTCCAGAAAGAAGTCACTTCTCATTCCTTGAGACAAAGGAGGAGGAATAAAAACTCCCAGATCCTTAAAAAGAAAGTCAGTTGGAAAAATCAGCATTTAATGCCTATTAATGACTTGCACAGCTAAATCCATATCTTGTGAAATACTTACTTTCACAGCATCTTGACGGATTTGATTGATAGTCTTTGGTCCATTGTCAAGAAAAGCTTTGCGAGGAATCCAATTGTGTTCTCTCAACTCCACAGTATCCTTCAAGGATTAAACAGAACAATGTTAGCTTCAAGGCATATGCTAGATTTGTCACAGTAAGCAATTTTATACTCTTACCTGCAGCAGGAAACGAATCCTTGCCGGCAATTCCTTACTCATCATCAAGGAGCGCATACGGGCAAAGTACTGATCCATTAAGGACTGTTGAGAAAGAAATTCATTAAATTTGGCAAGTTGACAAGCTACCAAAAAGAACAAACATTAATATGTACTAGTTATTTTTATTTGCGAATTAAACATTAACCACAATATTTTATCTACAATAACCTATCCCCAGAGAATGAATACTAATAGCATAAATATAGATATATGCAATTCTACTGATGCTTACCTTGGCTTTTGCATGGTCTAGTCTAGGTCCTACTGTCCTCATTATCTGACAGAGGCACTCCAAATCCTCCCCCATATCCTTGAGTTGGACTCTCTTCTTCTTTTCCAAAAGCTGGGTAATTTTAAAGCATAGAAAATTTTTTACTGCCATTTTACAATTTATTTTTATAAGACATATATCAATGAAATAGGTATTAAATAACATTAAACAATACGTCCAAGTAGCAAAACAAATGCTGTTTCACTTAAGATGCTATGGTCAAACAAGCTACACAATTCCCTTTCAGTCCAGTGTTTTATGCAAACTCAACATTCCATTCCATCTATAAACTAGTATAAATTGTTAAGGATTCATGAAAAGAACATCAACACAATTGATACTTTTGATTAGCAACATTTTCATAAAAGATCCAACCACATGAAAATACAAATAAGGTAAGGGTAAAGACCTTTTAGTTCTGGTTAGTGCTTTGCATTGGTCATATGACCTAGAATTTTCTATCCAGATTTCTCAAGCAGATCTAACAGGTTTCCCTTAAGATGTTAGCCAATGCGTAAAAAGGAATAAATTTTATTTTAGGAAATTTATTGTTAACAGTGTTTGCCCACCATGTAGTCACTAGTAGATACCACTTACTTATTTTTCCCATTTTTTTTTTTACATTACTAGCTATCTCACCAAGAAGTTTACATAGTAGTAAAGATAAAAAAAACCACTTACTGTTTTGATGCACTTATGAAGGATAGATTCATGAATAAGATCAAGCTTGCCAAGTTCTCCAATGAATTTGATGTTTCCCAGCATCTTGATCTTAGCAATAGCTCTCTGTTCCTCCTCCTCTGGGAGGAGGGGGCCATCTTGCTTATCATAGACTAAAAATCGAGATAAGTTTTAGACATTG